ACCGTGTGGCGTGTTCCGTCATCACTAAAATGTATTGATTTCCACTTGCTGTCTGAGGGAAAGGACCCATTATGTCCACGGACCATAAGTCACCAACCGCCGTTACGGGTATCGTTTGTAGCTGCGGTCGACTGCACCGATCACCCTTCATCAATTGACACTGTGGGCAAGCGAGTACGTAGTTTGCAATATCGCCTCTCATGTTTGGCCAGTATGCACTTTGGCTCACTAGGTCGTATGTTCGTGTAACTCCTGTATGGGCTAGTTGGTGGCATTCTTGAATCACCCCACGACGAAGGCTTTTTGGTATCACTGTAACCCAGCTACCATCACTGTCTTTCCAAGTTAGGACGCCGGCAGCGTTTAGTTTGAGTCTATGTTTTTGCTGCAGTAGCATCTTTAACTCTTTATTCTCTGCTGCCATTTCAATTTCTTTCCCTTCACGTATCATCTGAATGACTGTCTTAAGAGTAGGATCCGACTTCTGGTGGCGAACAAGTTGTAAGGGATCTTGCTCCAAAGCGTTTACTGCATACGCTACTTCTGGTAGTTCAATATCATTATCTGATCTCGACAAATAGTCAGCTATTACATTTTCTTTTCCTGGAATATGTCCAATCGTGAAGTCATACTCTTGTAGGCGTAACATCCATCGTGATAACTTCCCTCGTGGATCCCGTGCTGTTTTCAACCACTGAAGAGGTTTGTGGTCGGTCTCAATGTGGAATCGGCGGCCGATCAGATATGGTCTCCATTTTTCTAGTGCCCATACGATAGCTAAACACTCCTTTTCCACCGTAGAATACTTCTGTTCTGCAAGTGTCAACACACGGCTAGCGTATTCAACAACCCCATCTGTTTGTCTTAAAACAGCACCTATACCATAATCACTGGCGTCTGTCGAAACTGTGAACTGCTTCCCCGGCGCTGGCAGTTTCAACGTCATCTGTTGACCATCTAACAGCTCTTTAATTCGCTCAAACGTTTGCTGTGCCTCTGCCGTCCACATGAATTTCGCGTCACTCAGCAACGTATATAGCGGTTTAGCTATCTCATTGAAATTTTTGACAAATCGGCTGTAGAATGCCGCTCTTCCCAAAAACTGTCTCAGCTTTCGCTTTGAATTTGGCACTTCGCTGGTTTTGACTGTCAGGATTTTCTCCGGCAATGGCCGTATTTCGCCATTTCCCACTTTGTAACCCAGGAGGACAACCGTGTTTTTAGCTATTTGGGACTTGTGCTTATTAATACGCAGTCCAAAGTCATCAATTCTCTTTAAGATAGCTTCGATGTGGTCTATATGGTCGCTTTCTGTCTCACTATATACCACCAAGTCATCTCCATATACTTCTACGTTCTTCAGATCCTTCAGTAATAAGGTCATTAATCTTCTGAATGTAAATGGGGCACCTACCAATCCAAATGGCATTCGTTTAAACTGGTATTGTTTCTGCCCGACTGTGAAAGCTGTTTTACTTCGATCACCTTCTGCTATTGGGATTTGCCAGTAACCCGATCGTAGGTCGAACACGGTGAATAACTTGGCTTTATGAAGGCGATCAAGAGTTTCTGTTACGGTAGGCATTACACACTGTTTTACTTCGGTGAGGCTATTCAGCTGTCTGAAGTCGACACAAAATCTATATTTCCCGTTAGCTTTCTTCACCAAAAGGATTGGCGAACTGTACGGACTGTCGGCTTCTTCGATTATTCCGTCGTTTAACATTTCTCTGACTTGTCGGTTAACTTCTTCTTCAAGGTGGACCGGAACTCGTCGCGATGAAAAGACTGTCTTCCCCGTATCCTTCAGTGGGATGTTATGCTTTACCTTATCACAATAACCGTATGGGTCTCCATCACTAGTGAATAAACCGGCATATTTACTCATCAACGTGGTTAGACGTGGTGCTTCTTGCTGACCAATGGTTGTGGTTTCCACCTCAGCGACTTCACTATTCTCATGTATCGCGAATTGCCCGTGTTTTGTGACCACTTTTCTATTCTTCATATCGATTAAAGCTCCTACTTCTCTGAGAAAGTCTGCTCCCAAAATCGTTCGTCTTATATCAGAAGTTACAATAAACGGATATCGTATTTTTCCTGCTCCAATCTCTACAACGCAGTCTGAAACGCCAAGAATGTGCAACGGATGTCCTCCTACCGTCTGAACTGCTAATGTGCACGGCCTTATTTCCTTACACTGTTCTCTACCTATCAACGAAACTGCCGCCCCTGTGTCGATCAAACAAACTATTTCTTTTTCGTTCACCCGTAATCTCCCGTACACTGAACCTCTTTCGACTAACCCGACCACCTCTAAACGCGAGCGAGAAAAAGAAGGAAGACTGTATGGTTTAAGGTTTTGCTGCCTTCTTTTCGGGCAGTTTCTCTGCCAGTGACCGGTTCCTCCGCAAGCAAAGCACCTGTTGTTTGTTTTTTTCTGCATAGCTGCCACCTGTTGTTTCAACTCTTCAATCTGGTCTTCAATCTTCTTGGAGTCTTGGCCCTCCGACATCACTGGAGCAACATGCGAGGTCATTATCTGCCTTGTCACCTTGGCCATTTCATAGACATCCATTGGCTGAGCTGCGTTAACTAGCTGCAACTGATGAGCGACATCTGTCGGGACGCATTCGAGGAACTGAGATGCCAGCAACTGCTCCCGTGAATCTTCGTCTAGGGTGGGTAACGCGCGTCGCAGGTGATTCGTCAGCGTTACTGCGAGAACCAACGGATCCCCATCCTGGCCAAGTCTCAGCGTCCGAAACTTCTGCAGCGCCTCTTGTCTGTCCGCAGGGCTGTCGAACTCGCACACGAGCCTCTCGACGACCTTGTCCCAAGCTGCGTCACCTTCCAGCTCCCGAGCGTTGTCGTACGCAGCCTTCGCGCGGCCCCTCAGCAGCGTTCCCAAGACCACCAGCTTCGCCTTCTGCTCCTGCACTCCAACCAGCTCCGCGACAGCTTCGAAGTCCCTGAGGAACGTCCGCACATCTCCATCCTCGAACACCTGCGGCCACGGCACCTTCATCTCCGACAGAGGCAGCGACACCAAATGTGAAGAAGACAAGACTGAGGAGACTGAAAGGATTGTTTATTTGGTGAAACGTATGGTACATAGCTAAATTCGGAATACCATATTCTAAACCGGCCATTTGCACATCTTCACCACATCCTTGACGAATTGGTCGAATATCATCTCATTCGATAGCTTCTTGGATTCTGCATCATATGGCAACATTCTTCTTATGGTTCTCTTCTTTGATTGCTCTTTCGGTGTGCCAAACATGTTGTTACTTCGTTCCTGATATACTACTTATATCGGATTATAAGTAGCACTCACCACACAAGTATAAGATGGAATGGAACGATAGTCAGTTAGTTTTGAATGTGCATGGTCAATGAGAACATGAGATACAATAAGATGAAATAATTTAATGATGTATATATATATATATCCAGAGGAGGTTGACTATGTCTTCTTTCAGTAGCTGAAGAGGTAGCAATCAGTACCAGAAGACCGGGTCTTTGTAAACAGAAAAAGTATATTCAACCTCTTTGTTTAACTTGGCCTACAGTAAGTCCAACAGATCCCTACAAACTTTGGCATTTTAAATACCTAACGCAATTTTTTCTACTTTTCTTCTTCTTTTCCTCTATTTCATTGACGAACGTTCATTCCTGACCTTCTACAACTTCATAACCTTTCTTATGATTTCTATTTCCTTAGGATTACATAGCGCTCTTCTAACTTGTTATCATATTCACAAAATCCTGTTCATTTCACTTCACTGAATTCATTATTATGTAATAATCATTCACAAATAGTACTTTCAAATTTACACGACATCATCATTATTATTGTCGTTATTTCCACCCTTAAATTACATCCAGTCCATCCCACTTGTTGTTTTATTTTTCTGTAGTATGCATATTGTCTCATACAACATTGATTACACCGACGCTCGAAACATGCAGCTTTGGTGACTATGTACATATAAATATATATATATCATTAAATTACTTCATCTCTTTTTATCTCATGTTCTCACTGACCACGCATATTCAAAACTAACTGACTGTTTGTTTCAGGTGAGACCACGGATAGATATTGGTCACAGAACCACTGAAAAACAGGGAGTAATGGACAGCTGTTTTCACTGTCCTAGTGTGGGGACTCATCGCCAGTACGCATCCACTGGGTTTCAAACCCAGGACCTTGCGGTTACAAGGCAAGCTTGTACACCATTCAGTCACTGAGACCGGATTCAATGGTTAGCCCATGAATTCTAACTTCTACCAATTGGTGATTTCAGAACGAACACCAACCAATGTCATCGGCGGGAAGTCCGTCCACACTCCCTACAGGAAGGACCTGGTCATGATTTCTCACTGGAACTCCAGGCAAATTCGTTCTTTAGCCAGTCGCCAGGGAGCATCAGATCTTTAAATGACTATTGTTGCATCTTATCTTATAACTATCCCACAATACATTTCTGATATGATTGTAATTTACCTTTACTGGGTTATTGTATGCTTAAATCAATGCATTTATTGTTGTAGAGCCTGAAGAAGAGTTTACTGAAAACAACTGTTCGCTCTAACTATTTTTCTTTTGAATAAATCACAATAATATTCAAGTTGCTGATATATATGTGACTTAATACGTCCCTTTACCGTTTGCCTTATTGGTTTTTAGGAGTGTGGCATAGAAGAGTATTCAAACTCTTTAGTCATGAACATTGTTTCATTCCGTTATGCTTATCAAATCCACTATAGATTAGAATAATCTACCGTAGGACGCTCAAGAAATCTACACTGTACCAATCAAAATGGAAATGTATCACTCTGTCGTGTCGAGATTCCACTGCCATACTGAGTTCAATGTTCAGCATTCTAAATGCATTTACAGAACCTAGACGTACAAAACATCTACTTGTTTTAAACACTGTTCAATAAAAATGATATTATTTTCAATGAAATATACTCAAGAAGTTGCTTACCCTATGTGTTTCACCAATGTGGTTACGTTGCTCAATCATTTCTGTAGACAAAACTGCAGATACAATTTGGGAAGTATTCAGTTCAAAAGGGATTTAAGTAAATGTTAAAATTTTAGTGTTGTCTGTTCTCAAGATTTGTCTCTTTTATTGAATAAAATGCAGTAATTTGGAAAGAATTCAATTTCACAATGATCGGACTGTTTTTTTTAATCAAATGGATATTCTAGAATTTGGCAAACATTTTGCTATTTGAAATTCTCCAAATATGTGTTAAAAGTAATGTATAGTCACTGCTAAAAAAAGTTTTATTCTATCATTGTAAAAGTATATAGTTATCACTCAACCTGTATGAAAAGTGCTTACAAGCAGTTATGAATATTATATAATTGGTTAAAATGATTGTCACAGAAGTCACTTATTGGTTTGGTAAATATGTCATTTTTTATCTTTTTTTTATTAACATTAGAAAAATAAAATAGCATCTTATCTAGACTCTATTCGGTTAATGGCATCAAGAAAAAAAATCAATCAATCATTTTCTCTGATATTTTTTTTTGATGAAGAAGATTGAAAGGTAAAACCTTAAGCAACTAGAAGTATTTACACTTGATAGCTAGAATAGACAAGCACAGATAGGAATGTGGTTAGTCCGCATATAGCAAAATATAACTAGGAGCGTTATAATTTTAAGCTAAGATGTTGAATATGAGCATTATACACCAACAATTGTGGTGTAATATTTGTTTCTCCCTCGATTAGTCTTTTTTATAAATTTCACTAACTTTAGCCTGTTCATGCTCACAGTCATTTTTGTCACCAAAGGATTGATTGAGTGGCTCTGTGGCATTCAAGTACAATTCCGTATGGTTAGGTAAGGGAAATACAGAGTCATTTTTTTAGCTCTTTTCCAATAATCATGTCGATTATAATGCTATTATTATAGTTTTAGGTTTATAGAGGAATATAGGGCTACAGTATCATATCTCTTTTAATAACAACGGAAGCTACTGGAATCTACTTGAAATGTTGAGGGTTAGATGTTTAGAAGTACTGTAAACTGTCACTTACTTTGCCTTGGTCGTTTCTACAGTCCAGTATACACAAATGCATAGACCGTTCATTAGCCATCTTATCTTATCCTAGTCATAAACTATTAAATTGTTAACTATATAACTAATTGTTCATCTGTAGTTGATTTTAATGATATGATTGGTCATCGTTTCTTTTAATTCTTCACCATACAAACTGGAGTTTATGAAACTACGTCTTCTACAGTATAATAACTACGGGATCTACTTACTAGGATAAGTAATCCAGTTAAAACTCAGCCTTCACTCTTATTATTCTTGCACTTGCATACGATCTCACAGTAGAGTGGGACAATATGGAAGTATTAAGTAGTATACAGAGAGATTTGCCTATTACTAAATCTTTGTTTATTTAACCAGAACCCAAAATCTGTAGTACGGACGACAGGATATTAATGTTGGATATTTGTAAAATTGTACTAAGCTGCGGGAGGACGCAGAACTGTATAAAGTTAGAATTCATGTGGATACATTGATATGACTCTCAGTAATATATATCTCAGTCAAAACGTCACCCATCTATTAACACGGTATAACTATATGTTCTATATAAAAGATGTAGTTTTATTTACAGTTTAAATACAACTTCCCTACAGGCTATAATTCCAGTCTATGATTAACCGCTTTCCTTCCAACATCTCTAAATAATCTGTACACTTTTCTAGCTAATCGTTGAAAAATAGGATTTTCACACTGTGAAATAACTTTTTAGCCGATAATCACATACAGGTAATATTAAAAAAGATATTATTTTAATAAATATACAAAGAACACGTTTTTGTTTCACGGTGGTATCGGTGGGACTACAGTGTTGTAATAAGTAAGAGGCTTCGTATAAATCAGTGTCATCAGTGTACTGTATGTAAAGTATGTATCCTCCTACAGTGGTATTAATTTTTACATTTTCCTATTCATCGTTTTAGCCACAGGCGGGATGGATGAAGATGTCAAAGACAAGGCACACCTTCAACACTCTGAAATCAGTTCGGAAATCTGCAGCACTCAGTATATTCAACAAGATTAGGATTTCTAACACAAATGTGAAGTCGGTCAGTTCTTCTAGACGGGTTAGAAACTTGCCCAGTGTATCACGAAAGGGTTCTCAACAAGTTACAGACTTCTATGAACACCTCTCTTCACTGGTTCCATAGTGAAGATCGAATGGCAGTCCCAGAAGAATTAGCAACAAGAAACTCTGAGCCATCTGCTCAACAAATATGTAGGAGAAAATGGAGATGGATCAGGCAAACGTTGGGGAAGCCATCGAATGACATCGCGCACAATTCAGGCCATTGCTCGAGTGGAATGCCAATGGGAAGTGACGAGTGGGTCGTCGGTGCGAGGGTGACATGGAGGAGATTGTGTGAGGAGGAGGAAAAGATGAGAGATTATGGGCAATCGTGGACCCAGCTGAATAGGACAGCAGAAGAAAGTGAAGAAGTGTTGTTGAAGCCTTATGTTCCACTTGGAACCCAAAGAAACAGTAATAAACAATAGTAATAACAATTTTCCTGTTCATCAAAACGTTACTCTCAGGTTTAAGACTTGGAAGTCTCCTGATGGTCAGACATCAATCTGAGTACAAAGAAGAGATCTCAAACAAATAGAATGCGTTTTCACTCTGATATAACAAATGAAGGACGAGCATATCTGTTGTTTCATTTGAAAGTGAGTCTTAGAATAGAAATGCTGTATTATATCAAATGCGCTTATCTAATTTGAATTTATGCCCCACCATAATGCCTGAATTCCTCTTTTACAGTAATTATTCTTGCCCCTTATATTTCTGCCCTAACTTTTTCATCTGATCATTATCTCTCTGATGCAGTGATACAGAAGAAAGATTTTTAATAAAATTATCATTGCTACCTAGGTAAATTATATGGTGAGCTGGATAAATGCAACATATGGTTATCAGCAAAATGTTAATTGAAGTTAAAATGTTTCTTCTGTTATTTTATTGTTTTAAAAATATAAATTTTCTCTTAACATTTAGACAGGGGTCAAATAGGCTTGCGTTTCAAATGAAGCTTCTGAGTGTAATATTCGTGTGATAATGTAAGAAAACCGGTACTATAATAGTGGTACATATATTGAACACCTAGTACTATCTCAATTCATAAGTAAATCAGTGGTTGATACACTTCCTCAGTTTCTATTATGAAGATAGACTTAACTCTTCATTAGTTTGGCACAACGAGACAGAAAGTTCAAAGAAATGCGTACATTTATATAGTAGGTCTCAAACGAATGTTATAATCTGTAATCTGTAATCATTCAGAGAACCAGTAAAAACCAAGGTAGAACTTAACAACTGTTTTGTCCTAGTTTGTGATCTTCAGCAAGCAAAAGGATAATTTCTCGCTGAGGATACTGGCTGGCGGCTGCGCTACAATATATATATATATTTCGTGGTCGAGTAATCGCCTTCTAACCTGGAGGTCTCGAGTTCTAGTCTCGTTGTGTGCGTTTTGTTGAAGGACCACAAACCAGAATGAAACAGCTGTCTAGTGTTCACTGATCTTACAATAATTCTCTAACTGATGTCACCTCGTAATCAAACCTGTAATCAATTGAATCCAACTAACACTTGAAAACCGATCTGTAATCTTCAAGTATTGGTTTCACAGGGATTTCGTTTGATCGGTCGGAGGAATTTATCATAAGCTGACATCAGTTAGAGAACTATTGGAAAACCTGGAAGTACTGGATAGCTATTTCATCCTAGTTTGGGACTTTTCAGAAGTTGGAATTCATGGGCTGGCCATTGGGACAGGTTCCTAATAGCTTAATGGTCTACGAACTGGCCTTGTAATCAGAAGGTCCTGTGTTCGAATCCCGGTGGGTGCGTACTCCTGATAGTCTTAAATTAGGACGAAACAGCTGTCCCGGGTTTTTCATTGGTTCTCTAACTGATGTCAGCTCATGATGATTTCCTCTAAACTATTTATATTTCACAAACTGAAATATACTTCCCTCAAGTACTCATGAAGTTCATATTATCTTTCTATGGAAAGGTAGTGAACAAAACATCAAGAAGCACAAACTAAGATGCCTGTATATTTGATGTTCTTAAATATAATATATTTGGCAACGCAGTAATAGCCAGGCAGTGCAAAATCGATTTTCGAAACGTCGTGACAACTAAAGTCTTACTTTTGATTTTTTTCGAAGTTGATCAATAGAACTTCAGATTCCATATTTTCATCATTTATTATTCATTAAAAAAATTTCCCCTCAAGGAAGACAGTGATGGGAGTTTATCATTACAGAATGATTCAGGAATCAGAATGAAACTAAACGATAGTATCGGAGTTAAATAATTTGTTAGAAAGTTTTACAGAATAAGAATGAGAATTCAGCTTAAAAGTCTACTGAATTGCCTCAATAGCTGCTGAGTATTCTCCCGAGTCTTTATTCATTCAAATTAACAGCAAGTTTAACACCATAGTAAGACAAAAGGGAATAACTAGAAAATGAAATTTATCAGTACATTTAAACAAATAATACTCACATATGAGATTATCAAAGAATATAAAAGACATTTCAGCGAAAAAAATCTATTTTATCGACGAATTCATCTTCAGAAGCTGTACAGTCGTATTTATATTTACCAAAAATGTATAGCAGTCTATTACTGAATAATAGGAGGTGACATAATTGTTATAATTACTCAGAAGTGGCTTTAGAAGTAAAAAAAGTTACAAATTACGTAGTACTCAGCGGCACAAAGGAAGAAAGCGTTAGAAATTTGATAAGGTTAAATTTGTCGTTGAGTGAGAAGAAAGGTAGTTCAGTGTCCACTTAACAAATGTGAAGAGGGTGACAAAACGTACAAAAAGAACATATGAGAGTGATAATAGTGAATTAATTATTATAGTAAAAGCAAACTAAAAGTAAAATTGAAAATTAAAGAAATATTATTTTTTACAGGGAACGACTAATGAAGAGGTTGTGACCATTGTAGATTAAGAGAATGGACAAACATTTTCCTCATACGGAGTTCGGGACTGTATTGACGCATCGCCGACGCCTCCACCATGCACAAATGCAGAAACCTGACACCCTCTGTACCATTTGGCCTCACCTTGTAGATAATCTTGAAAGACGACTCTGGTGGAGCTGTGTGGCTTGATTTCACCAAGTCCTCGAGAACATCTCTGAACATTATCCGGCATTGTTAGCGAAAGGACAATGCAAGACAGTTACTAGCTCAGTTCTCGAGCACTTGATGTACTCAAGCCACACAGCTCCACCAGAGTCGTCTTTCAAGATTATTTACAAGGTGAGGCCAAATGGCACAGAGGGCGTCAGCAAGTTTGTCCCCTCTAATACTCACCAATCATTATTTTTTAAAGCGATTTTAAGTTTTAAATATGTATTATGATATGTGACACAGAAAAAGCTGATACAAAGTAAGAGTTTTAAAAGAGTATGTATATATATATATTATTACGAAACGGAGAATGATCTTTTTTCCTGACAGTCATTTTTAGACGTCAATAATTGGGCGATTATATGGTATGTCCCTTTTTGAAGTGGCGCCACTTTTATCCGGTGGCTATTAGGGCGTTTCAATAAATACACCAAAATAACTTTCATGATTTCAGGGAAATTCAATAATATACTTTCAACTTTTGAACTTACTACCTCCATTTAGTTCATCACATTGTGCAGACACCAGTATCAAGCAACATTTTCTGATCAAAGTGCAGAAAATGTAACACAGTTGAAGAATATAATGTCACCGATGATATGCAAGTCAGAAAAATGTTTTATTTCTAATTTCATTTAAAACACATCTGAAAAATACTTGCCATTAAACCATCATAGCAACGGGATATGACGCCACAATTAGCGGGGATATGTAATAAATCCACTCTCAATAATTTGTAGAATATGAAATGCGAGTTAACTTCAGTGACAGTTACACGTGTATTTTTATTCCTATATATATGTATATACATATATATACATCATTGTTCTTCTTGGTATGCTTACGCCTCTAATAAGGATACTGTCAAGCATACTTTCTATCTCACGTCGTTGTGTGTTCTGGAAGGTTAGGGAAAACAGGTAGTTGACGTACAGTGTTGTTGGCCTAGTCAAGTAGTATTCGTGATCAAAGAGTCTAAGTCCAGCATCGCCGTCCCTATTCTATTAAACTCATCGTATTGCTAAACATTATAGAACTTCATCAAACTTTCAATAAATTCCATCTTATTTAGTGCTGTTATCAACAATACTTATATAGTAATCAGCGAATTTCTAATTGGAGAATTGAAGTATAAGATAAAGCACTTAGATTTTGACACAAATTAATTTCCATACATTTTCTTTGGATGCTCAAGATTAAACCAAAATTCAGATACTTCATTCTTATATTGACGCTTGGACTAATCATTTTAGATGCTGAGTTGATAAAGTATCTTGCTTCCACATGAATCGGCTTACCGTGGAAGACTTGAAGTCAGAAATATCAAAATTGAGAAACCACACAGTGATAACTTGCTCAGTTAATTAGGTAGATGTTTAAACAGTTAACTATATATGAACCATTTATGTGGCAGTAACGTTATGCAGAAGGTAATACAGCTGGGTCTTTAATTCGTCTTATCACAGATTGTATGTGATATATAAATATATATATATATATATCATTCTGGGAAGAAATCAGAAGTAGCAAAAGCAATACAATGAAAACATATCCTGTGGTATCGTTTGGTAATTAATTCTGACTTATGTCTCTTCCCCTGGAAATTCACATAAGCTATAAATTGCACTGGTGGGAATAATGTACCACTGCTATTGTTATCTGTTTTTAATAAACCCATTCTCCATTTGTTTGCGTCTGATTACCGTAAACACTGCTGGGAATCTAAAATAAAGTTCTACCAGCTACCCAGTCAACTAAATAGTGTTTACACCATAGTATCTTTTAGTGTACATCACGTTAATAAGTAGCACACAGTGGGTAATTTTAATCCCCATAAAAAGATTGCCTATGATTTTGAAGGATCTATGAAAAAATTAGGCTTATAAGTGAACATTCCTTAGAGCTTTTTGAAGCAAGTTATATGATGTGGAGTGTAGGATACATCCTGGTATATAGCAATTTATCTAACTTGAAGAAATATAAATAAGATACCTGTAGCTTTCTTAAGTGGAACACCCATCATGTGGTAGCCAATTAGCGATAAATGTTTATAAAATGTAAAAATGTAGAATATAAATAATTCAACACGGTGATAGTCATTATCAAAATGTTCAAAATACAAACAAAATAAGTTTAATTGGTTGGACGATTTCATCACGAGCTGACATCAGTTAAAGCACCATTAGAAAACCGGGGAGTACTACACAGTTGTTTCGTCAGCCTTGTTTGAGACTCTTCAGCAGTACTCACCCACTGCCAGGGTTCAAACCCATGACCTTCTGGTCACAAGGCGACCTCATAGACCATTAGGCCAATCCGTGACATAGCGCAACCACTTTGCAATGTCTTCTTCGATGAGTTACTGCCTTACCTTTAACCTGCTATACCCTACTGGTCACGGCTTCCCACTGGAACCCCAGGTAACTACCTGAATAGGTCCAGTCTCTAGTGAGCATCAGATTAATTTTCAAGTATTGGTGTCAGTTCATGATGAAATCTTCCAACCAATCAAAATATCCCTTCAAAACCAATACTGGAAAATCAATTTATTCAAGTATTTTAACCATGATTACTTATTGGAAAATCTGTTTTTAGCTTAATTTGACTAATTATGTTGAACTGAAATGCTGGGCCTCTGCCGATATATCGGCTCCTAGTACGAATGCTTCGATTATATCTAAGGAACGGCCTAGTGGATAATGGTTTGACATTTGAAACGCCAGTGAAAGGTTCTAGTCTCAGTGCCAAAAACATCACCACTCACTGGGAATGTGCGTCCACCGTTTGTCATCATCAACAAAAATAATTATCGGGAAATCACCTTGCCGGTACATGATGGATAGGAAATGAGAAGAAAACTAAACTACTTTTACCCATTTCATTGATAAATTATTACTTCAAATGAGAAATAAATTCAAAGCACAAAAGATTAACAATCACTTACAATATTAATTATAACAACAATAATAATAATAATCTGCTCCCAATAAAGTAATGTACATTCATATGTATATGTAACGGTAATATAAGCATAAATACATTCTGTACAGTGGAAATATGAATGAAAGAGGAGTTAGTTATAATTTCTTCCTCTTTTGTTAAAATAATTTCTCCTTCACTAAACGGTAGCAGACAATAATGCTACAAAAAACTTTAACATCAGGAAATAATTAATTTATATGTACCTATTGAAAGAAAAATTCAGTAGTAACACATTTAAATTTGTTACTCAGCAACAGAACGTTTTGTCCCACATTGTTTGTGATTGACGGCAGGTTTACGTCAGTTAACTGTCATTTGACAAAGAATAGCAGATGAAACTGTGGATGATAGAAAAATATATTCATGAATGATTTTAAAAAGATGGCAATCAGTGATACTTTTGATGATGAAACAACGTCTACACTGATTTACTTTCTTTTAGAGAAAAATTTAAAGCCTATAGGATTTTTCTTTGGTTGTGGGACTGGTGGAGGAGCTGGATTTCGAATAGGTTGCTTTACTGGGGCTGTGGTTGTTACACTGACATTACCGGGTAAAACAGATGAAGGAGTTCGTTGTTCATTCTGAGGCTGATTCGATCTGCTAGTTATGCTTGGCGATTTACGAGATAATATATTTGTTGTTGATGCATTAGATGCAGAATGGGTTGTAGGTGGATTTTGAGCAGTAGACTGTGATTGGGTTGATGGAGGTAGATGCGGTTGACTGTTTGCCAAAACTGATTGTTTAGAAGGTGGAGAGGTCTGTGGGTTAGGGAACCGGGCAGAGCTTGGTGGTTTTACTGCTGAAGTTGCTGAAGTAGGGCTAGTGGCTCTCAATCTCAAGTTGGAAAGAATCGATGTGGGCGCTCCAACTACAGGGGTCGGTTCAGCTTCTGTGCATGCTGTAGATTCGGAGCTAAAAGGTGAACTTGTTGTCGATTTCTTTTGTAACAAGAGACTGGGTGAAACAGCTAGACTTGTTAAAACACTGGGGGGATTTCCACTAGGAAGGATGCCTCTGCCACCTGATGTGGGCTGTCCATTTGTCTGACGTGGCTTTATACCCTTCGACTGAAGGTATAGGCGAGCAGCAGCATGAAAAATTGACTGCACTTCTTTGTATGTTTCAGCGACAGTTATCTCAAAATATGGAATACCATGTGATTTAGCAAATTCTTCAGCTTCAGTTTTCTGTACCAGACTAGTTGAATTGTAAAAAATATGATAAAGTTATACAAATATCGAATACTCACTCATAATTATATAAAAGCAATAATGCATGTTATTTAGATACTTAGATTGCAATTTTCAGTAGACTGTCACGCGAATACAACGCTTTTAAACTAAAAACCACGACCAAATGAAACTGGTATGTTGGAAAATCTACTGTATTCAAACACTTACATCTCCATAAGTGGAGTCTTACCCTAATAATAAACAATAAAAGTATCGAACGAGTGCTAAAGATATTTTTAGCCTATTCCCTCTTATATTGTCATACATTCATTTATAATTCTCTGTTAGTACTCAGTACTACCTGTTCCTTGTTGTAAACACCAAACGAATCAGTGTTATCATCCCTAACCACTGTTATAAAATACAATCAGCTCAACTTCTGTAAATACAGTATTCGATATAATGATACCAACTTTTACGGAATGAAGTTTAGTTATACATTTTTATACTGTTTCAAGTTGAAGTATTGGTTGCTTTCAAACTACAGGAAGTAGGCAGAACTGGTCTAGGTTAAAAATTGCTTTTCAAATAATGGATTTGTATATATTCAATTGATTTAATGGTAAGTTTCATAACGAAAGGACAACGGTTTGAGAATCACTGAAGAGCACCAAGCTTAGATGAAAAGTGTGTCTGGAAATTCAATCCTCTCAGTGGTTTTGTAATTGATATCCACGTATGATGAAATTCATCTTAAAAACTATTGTTATTATTAATCTTCAACGGTAGAATGCTTGGTTCCCATGCTGGAGTTGATGGTTCAGTTACCTGCCGATTCAGTCATGAACCTCGCCTAGCTCGTAGTCAGTTTGGAACAGAGGGCAGGTCGGGTGTGAAGTTAGTGACGACATCACGTAAAAAGATGCCACTACTACTGAAACTCAGAATGCAAGGAACGCCTTCACGTGGTGTTTATTTAACTGAAGAATTCCTGGATCACAGAGAGGAACGTTGGGAAACATCTTGTTTTAGTTCGTTGAGCTCTCGATGATTATATTTATCAACCGAAATAACTATTTAACCAATGTCAAAACTAAAATTATTCCAAGTAAATAAGCATCTGAGACTATACTTCTACTATATCATACATGGGTAATAAGTTCTGAGTATTTTTATCTGAATAGGAAGTAGGACCTTAAAATAACCGGGTAACTTTCTATGCGGTAGGAGTAACGTATATGTAGAATACCAAATGCCACAATAAAATATTCTCATCTCAGTTTTACTAGATACAATAAAACATTTTTGTATTTCCTGAAATCAAAAGCATTTTTATTCCTAACGATATCGAATTCACAATTTCGTAACCATATCTAACCTTAAATTAAGTTACTTTATGTATCATCATATGATACTTCCGAATGGTTTCATGAAGAACAGTTTGATGCTAGAAATAAGACATTTTGTCGTTGATCCAATATCTAGTTCAGAAAAGCATTCACTGATTTATTTTCACCAAGTAAGCTAATAACTGGAAAAGTAATTAAGGCTTTGTGTTAATTTCCTTTTAGATATCTGGATAGTCATATGCATAAAAGCTACAGAAATTGAAGTCAAATGCACATATAGCAAAAACTTTGTCAGCGCATTGGATGTACAGTTTCTTAGAAGTGTTATTTTGTTTTAACTTATACACTAATAAACTCCACAAGTAGTGAAACTAGATATCGGTGTACAAGCCTCTGGCAGTAATTTGTTTTTTTTATGCTTACATCCTTTTACTATTTAATATTAGTAAGTAGAGTCTCTAATTTCTTAAAAATATATTTTGCTTTGTAAGTATTTATCTCAATGTACTATCGGCATATTATCTGTCACTGACTACTGCTTTCAAAAAACCATCCCGGAAAACTGTTGAGTCATCACATTTCTTGTTCCCGAATGGTCATAATCGCATACTAGAATTTCACAGTAGACATTTGCTCCCGAATATACTAAAATTGAGTACGTTATCGGTGACTTACTGCAACTCAGTAATATAAAGCAACTCCACTCTCAACTAACAATAAGTTACTTACCGAAATCTCTCTAAATCTAGTTTATTAGCTACTAGTAATAATGAAGGTGGTTTTGCTGTATTAATTGTAAATAAAGCTGAACGTCTAAGCGAACCAGACTGTATGAGAGAATTCTGTGTATTTGTTGATGCGGGATTTGATGAAGATATGTTAACAGAAGAACCAGTTAAGGGTGAAGTGAACTGTGATGAAACATTTGATTTGCTTGCCTGTGAACCAGATAATTTTGGTTTTCTGTCAAATAATTCACATTGTAGATGAACTGCTTCAACCAACTCTTGAGCACGATAAAAGCTTCGACGACTTGTCATAGAAAATAATATAATGATTGCCTGGGACCATTTAATGATATCGTCAAGATCAATATCGTCCTGTTTATTGTAAAAAGAGAATTGTTTATTCGAAGGTTTAAAATCATTTATTTTTGGAAACTGAATAATTAAATCTGGAAGATGATAAGGTAGAGCTTTTACTTCTGGTTAAAACGTTCGGATTTTCTGTTGGAATCTTTACACTTCCAAAGTGGGAACCAGGAGTAACTAAAATAGTATGACTGAGAAACACAGTGATGATGAAATGGTGGTCATGTTGGGAAATATAAACCCACTTGTGGGTGCTACTAATTCAAACAGTATTAAGCTCCAGCATTTCATTTAAGCTTCAACCGTTACTGTTTTAAACTGTCACTGACTCACTTTAGACTAAGAAAATACTGTAGATTTACTCCAACAGTCGAACACTTTCAGTCTTAGAAATTAACAGTTAAGCCAAAGTATGGCTAGAAGAAGCCAAGACACACCTTGAATCCTTTTTTGACAAAAATAAGATGTGCACTGCAATTTGGCTACTGACCTACTGGAAAGCTACGAATAAAGTCAGTAATGAAGACGTCACCAAGCCTGGTGATGAAACATCGATCAAATATGAGAGCTTGGAAAATATCAAGGACTTTTCATTTTCAACCTTATCTACGAATCCTTTCCACTATTTAGAGTTAGAAACCAACAATATCAAACAATATACGTCATCATTTCCCCAATTTACAAATGAAATAATCAATACTGTACCCTGCTAAACTTAGCTCAGATGGCCAAACCAGTCCCCGCTACCTCATTTCTACTATTTTCTCTGAGACACTGGTTTGAAACGGTACCCAACAACCACTTGCAACTCCGTGTTGTTGGTAATGAGGGCTAGTGATGGCACTTGGCTTCCCAAGCCTTGGTTAGTGGGGTGAGCTTCCAGCCTGTGACCCACTGGTTATAAATCGACCACCTAGACCTATAAATCACAGCTCATGGAGATTAGCGTACATGGAAACAAAGCAGTATTTTATGAAAAGCGACTTATTTGAAATCCATACAGCGAAATTCATTCCTATTTAGGACTACAGTGTGATATATTATCATGTGACTCAAATTTATTTCAAAACTTAGACAAAAGTTAAGCATTCGAATGACTATTAGTAATATTTCTGTCAGGCTGACTAAAATGAAGGAAACTTGGATTTATATTTTCTTTCTTCTTCTACATAGATCTTCTATAGTTTGGAGGAAGGAAAAGAAGAATAACAAGGATAAAAAATTGCTCGACAGTCTGTAACCCTTTTTTTGAAAGCAGTAAACTGTTACATAGTTTGAAGAATTTCACTACATCCCTATTTTTGCATTTCTTTAGCGTCAGAAATGTCCCTGTAGTAAATGAGACAAAGCGTTATTTTAAATCTTCAGAGTAGTTTTAATTTAAGATGAAAGGCATTCATTGTGTTTAGCCTGTCATCAGATCTCCTAACTAGTGAGTACTGATGAAAATGTAGATCCGCAGTCATTCTTCTCAATGGATTTGTTAATTTATTACAAGAAGGTATGATTTCACTAGGTTTGCTATACCCTACTGACACTCATTCATATATTTTTAAAATTTCATTTCTTTTACTGAAGGCATTAATGATATTACTTGCTAAAAACTTACACTGTCTGAGGTATCCTGAATATTCACTGTTAATTCATGACCATCAACGCAATCAATTTTTGTGTAACTGTCGCCTAAAAATGAAGAAAACAGTACATAATGTTTTAAAAGTTTATTTCAAGTGCTGAAGTCATTTTCTATGTCATTAACACTTAACTCTGTACTAAAAGCAATCCACCTTAAGATCTCTCTATGAATAACTAAATGTCACTTTTCCAGACTACCTCTGTATTTCGAGCGTAGGACTAATCTTCCAACCTAACTATTCCTTATTAGGTTTTGTCATTCGACCTGCCATTAAGTGATTCTTCAGTTAATCAAACATACTGACTGATGCGTGAAATATATCGATGAGATCTACAGTTCAGTGATCGGTAAATACGTGAGCAACTGAATTTGTGTTTTTAAGTGAGTCAACAGAAACTCTAGAATGATACAGGTACCTCCAAGTAGCTAATTCCACCTTATTTAATATTGCCAATATACTGCATAGGTCACAGTGACATTTTTGTAATTTGAGTTATTTTTTAAATGCTGAGTACTAATAAAGAAATTAAATTTTCAGAACTGCTGGTCCATCATGCGAAAAAGCATGGAGTAGGCAAAAGATGATTGTTTGTCGCTATGGAAACAATCTTGCTAAACGTGACTGTGAATTCCATTAGTTTCACTCTACTAAACATAAAATTAATGAAACATGATCGTTTATTTCTTTACAATATACAATGAAACAAATTTATTCACCAGATTGTGGATTCGATAGTTTGAGTGCAGTTTTGACTTATAATTCAGCTATTTCCAGATGACTGATTGTAGGTGTCAGCAGGAAATCAGAATTAGTTGGAGGATTTCATCATGAGCCAATTTGAAAACCTGGGAGTACTGGACAGCCAGCTGTTTCGTCATAGTTTGGGACTCTTCATCAATACGCACCCATTGCCAGGGTTCGAACACTTGACCTCCTGGTTACAAGGCTAACTCGTAGACAATTAGGCTACTGGGACCTGATCCATTGGCCAGTCCATGAATTCTGACTTCTGCCAATCCATGACATAGCGCGACCACTTCGCAATGTCTTCTTCGATGAGTCACTGCCTCATCCTCAACCTGCTGTACTCTACTGGTCACGGCTTCCCACTAGAACCCCAGGTTAACTGCCTGAATAGGGCCAGTCGCTAGTGAGCATTGAACCCAGGTGGATGCGTACTGATGAAGAGTCCCAAACGAGGACGAAACAGCCGTCCATTACTCCCAGGTTTTCCAATGTTTCTCTAACTGATGTCAGCTCATGATGAAATCTTCCAACCAATCAAACAAAAATCCCTACAAAACCAATAATTGAAGATAAGAATTACTCAGAGTATTTTAAAAAACTTGAATGACAGGCAAGTGTCCATAGGAAATCCTTGCCTATGTACACGTGAAAGAAATCTGGTCTCTGTAGAATAATTACCATGAATAAGAACTTTATTTCGCATTCCTAAGTAGGTGTTCTTGTTCTGACACTTGGAGCCTCAAAAGGTTGTCCACAAATAATATGTCGATTGTTGCCTATGAATATCGAGTACTCAATTCTATACAAGAACCGTACTAACTGTAAACAATCATAGTTATTTATAACTCACAGCCTGGAGTTACTCTGAGTGCAATAGAAAATAGATTACAGATATATTTGGCGAATAAGGATGAAGTTTTTAACAGATAGTTATAATATGCTTAGTAATCAAGGAGCAGAAAACAATTTAATAAATTCTTCGTTTATTTCCTTTAATATTTTTCACACCCACTCTATATCGTATTCTTATACAGGTGAACTTTAGGAATGTATTCCTAACATCAAAATAATGTTATTGGAAAACAATTTAATCAAAAATTCTGAAAAAATCCTGTACTTACTTAAATAAGGTGCATATTCAACGATGAAACGACGTGTTAGATATTTGACTACCACAGCTGCATAAGAAAAATATAAAAATCGTATATTAAATTTTCTGGTAGGAGGTGAACACTTGGTGAAATTCCCACATATACACATAAATACATAATTACCCATCCTTATATGAAATTATACAGTTCTGTTATGGATTTGCTTTTTCCAACTTTGTAACCATTTGGAACCGTTCTGAGTACTATCAGTAGCCTTCGTACAGTAACTGCGTTTCGTAGCTCCATGTACGTAGTTGACTAACTGAGAATGCGTTTTCAACGTTAAAATTTGCACACAAGTACCACAGTTCTAGTTGCTACACTCCACATAGCACACAAACATAAAGAAAAATTGAAAAATGAAATACTATAATGAACACTGGGTCCTAGAGCCTTGAAGGCTCCAACTAGGCACCTCAGTACGTGGCCCACACCGAAAATCAGAGAGTTTATGTGTTGATGCCATGGTTTTGTCTGACTACGACTGCATTTTCAAAGCAATCGTATGTCAGCTAACATTGTCCGATTAAGCCGATGAATTCAAATGCGTAACACATGTCCTATCCATCTCAGTCGATGCAGCTTCACAAATAACGCATAAGAAAAAGCTGTTCGGGGTAAATGAGGTAATCAAATCAAAATTAAAATGTTCTGTTGCTGTAATGTATTGAATTCTTTGGGTTATTTTGGTCCAAATAGTTTTCTTCTTAAACCAGTTTGTTAAGCATGCATGACTGTTGTAAACAGAGTCATTACATATGCAGTCGTGATTTTTATTTTTTCTTGTTTTATTTCTTTACTTTCCCAGTGGAACATAGAGCTTCAAGCTAGAGCTCTGAAGTTTCGTTAGCATTGGTTTTATTTTTACTAGGTGGGGTTGTTAGCCTCACGCCCAACCTACCCTTTTTATCAGGATTACTACCGGCTTAGCGAGGTCTAGGAGTGCGTCGGCCGGGGATTGGACCCCGTACCACATGCGTGGTAAGCGAGAGTTGTACCACTCAAACACCTACTCTATGCAGTTGTGAACGTATGTGCAATGAAATATTAGAGATTTTGAATGTTTTTTATTATATTAAGTCATGGATCAGAAATATATGTTCATCTCATGATGACAGAAATCAAGGTGTGACTTGAGCGATATGAATGACTTTTTGGCGGCACATAAAAGTGAAAAATTACAGCCAGATTTCAGCCAATTTTGTTTAGATGACCTACAGTAATTGTGAATCTCTTCCACCCTTAAATGTAACCACTCATTTGCAATTCACCAGGATATTCAAGGTTTCTCAAGAATCATTTATAAAATCATAAATTCTTTTGTAAGTGAAGAGTGAAATAGATTTATATGAACAGAGAATAAGGGTCCGTATTTCTTGCAAACTGACAGGGAATGTTTGATCAAATTGATCACTCCATCATCAAAAGTAACCCATGAGCAGGAACATTTCTTAGTATATGGGTTCTTAATCATATGAGATATTAGATTTCACTTCCAAAGTGTAAAATACAGTTTGCAATAAAAATATTTAGAAATTATTCTCACTTAATAGTCTTTAAATTATACTTCTGAACTATCTTTGTGGAATTTATTCAAATGAACATACAGTTATTTATAGAAATTGTAACAGGTGGTTTGAAAGTCGGAGGGGAAATGAAAATGAAGTCTGATTCTCCAGTCTAATGAAGTTATTCAACAGATGAATTTAGAACTTATGGATCTGAAGAAATTATCATGAATGATAATATCTCAAAACATGTGAACTATAATTAGACAGTCTGTTATCGTCACCAGTATCCATAAGAAGTTGGCTTATTAGAGCATAAAGTGAACATTTTAATGAACACTAGTTGTGAGATGCCTGAATTTAATTAGTTATGACAAGCCAGTAATGTAATATATATTTTGGTCAAAACTGTCAGAAACAATAAACTTATGAGCAATGTTTTGTCACCAACTAAAGTTCATGAAGCATTAGATAACTCTGTAATCAGTAGTGTACTTTGTTGACGAAGTAAGAAGGCCACCACACTATCTTAATTTATCCTGGTAAGTGTCTCATCGCTAATTCGTCAGGTACACAGGGTTCATTTGCACCACAGACTAAGGTTTACCTACTATAGTCAAACGAATGGATCTTCGCTAATATTGCTAACTTTTAGCTCGTTAGTTAAACGCATACAAACAAAATCTAAATGAACCCGATAGCTGCAAGAACTACAGACTTTTAAGCAATCAGAATTACTCCTCGGAAGTCCAACAGTCTTGCAAGTGATGCCAATTTTATATTTTATTAATGATAGACTAATCTTAATATATAAAAGTATAAGTTACAGAGAATACGTTACTTTAAACTGCTTTGATATATCAGTAAAGCCTACTAGTAGTTGCTGGCACTGATCATTACATCCAAAGATTAGTGCTATTGTTCATTTATTCCTTCCACTCTTCAGTAATTATCTCAAAGTAAAACTACGTGAAAAGGGCTTTGTGGTTTAGTTACCAGACTCCATATCTCTACACCCTTATGAATGAAACACCCTACTACTTTGCCTGAACATTTAATAAATTAAACAGCAACCATAACATTTGTTTGAGATAGTTTTTTCCTGGGCAAAACATGAAACACAGGCTAAACCACAGTAATTATTTGTTTATTACTGATATAGGCATCAATCATCAATTTCTAAGTCTACCGAAGGTGAACTATATGATTTGGAATAATCTTTCCCAGATAAATCGAATTACTTTGATTTCTGACAGTATATATATATATATATATATATATATATGAATCACATTAAAGACATAAAACATCTGTATTCAACGCCTAATTCCTCTTTGTTTTAATCATATAAAATTTAAATATAAGACCAGTAAACAAAGTCTATTTTAAACTTTAAAAAAATCAATACTTTCTAAAGTATGTGATGCTGTTTTGTCGTTTTACTTTTACATTTCATAACTATATGCATAGAACTGGCATTATCTTTATTGGGTCTTAGGAGGATAAAAACGCCTGTTACATTTATACTTATGAATTCGGAAGGACTCATTATTCTGAATTAATTCTGTGTAGAATCGATCTTTGACAATTAGACCTCTCTGCCAGTTCCCTCAACTGAGATGCTTTAAGATAGGATAAGGATATCATATATAATTTTTTTCCTGACAGCTACTGAGTGTAAGCATTAAATCAAGGTACAGAGTTTTATGAATGTTGCTTTTGATACAGGTTTGTTTGAAGTTACAAAAAGCAATCATTACAACTGCGACACAGTAATATTAGTCTCAGATTGATAAAACCCAGTAAATATTCACTTAATAAACTTTTATGTTAAAACATATACGGAATAATTTATATAAAACTGCAAGAATACTCTTCCCTGTCCAGCCACCGTTAGTCAGCCAGTGTCTTATTGCATATTATTCAGTGTGGATCAACTTTAGTGATAAAAGTCAACAGAATCATTCCTAGTTAAATTTGATAAATGGTACTTAAGAGTTATGACTCAGAAAATCTTGACTTGACCACCCTAGGCTGAATTTTCTTGAGCTGCTGAGTTTTCTAGGTGGGTGGTTCTATCGTAGAATTCTCAGTAACTGCTCGTGTAATCTTGACTGAACTCGTCATCCACGGCCCTTTAAACCTCACCGAGTTTACTATTCGATAGAAAGCTTGAAAAAGAAAGGTTGGGTGTAAGACTAGTAACTCCACTTCTTTAAAACAATACGACTGCCACTGAGACTTCAAAAGCTTGTATTCCCATATCCCACTCTGAAGGCGAAGGATAGAAAAATAAATTCATTTAGCTTGCATAACTGACTGTGTAGTTCAAAAATCGAAATGAGTGTCGGAATTGGTAGTGTATGTCCTTTTCGATTTATCGAGAAATCAATAAAGTTATTTCATTTTCTTCCGATAAATGAGACAGTCTTATGATCATCCACTATTACAACTCCAGTTTGACAGAAAAACCAAGCCTAATATTTTCTCAATAAACTATTACTGTTCATTACTTCAACAGATATTCGTGAATGTAATATAACTGTCTTTCACCTTATAGGTACATGTCAGAAATTTTTATCACGAGCAAATTATTGATACAAATTATCGATGTGCACTTATTCTTTCTCAAGAGTTACTTTTCAGGAATTTGGCTTCTTTCAAGTTTAACAGCTGATTGATATCAGCTGTTAGAGAACCATTGAAAACCAAGGAGTACTGGGCAGCTCTCTCGTCCTAGTTTGAGACTTGTCCATACATAGGACGTACTAACCGGGTTTCTAACCCAGGACTTTCTGTTTACGAGGCAAGCTCGTAGACTATCCAGCCACTGGAACCTGACTCAATGACCCATGAATTCTAACTTCTGTCTATTCGTGAATTTAGCGCGACCACCAGCCAATGTGGATGGACCCAAATGGTCATGACTTCTCAATAGGCCTTTAGACAAGTTCATCCTGTAAGCAGTCACTAGTGAGCATCAGATTAATTTTTAAGTGTTAATTTGGAGGGATTTGATCTGTTTCAATTTTGACCATTCCTTACCCATTCTCTTTCTCCGTTGTCGAAAAAGGCTAATCATTAAAAATAGAATTCGAGTGACAAGAACACAGGTATTAAGTGTGTCTATTCAACATTCTTCCATCATTTATTTCGCGAATTCGAGCTTTGAACCACCCAATAACTTACTATTAGCATTTTAAAAGGTAGAAACTAATTATCTAGGCATCGTAGGTTTCTGCCTCTTGTTATCTAAAAAAGCACCGAACTTATGTGAATGTTTCAATCGAGCTTAAGGAACTGTTTTATCCTTTGATACAACCAGAAGTAATAATTCTTAAAATAATATTAGTGATTGCGGTTTAGAGCCATGGTACATGGCCTCGGGTTTTAGTCACATTTATGTGGCAAGTATCAAAAACAACTAAAGGTGCACCATGAAATATGGTATTTCTCTACAAACTGAACGTTTAGCCATAGAAAAAGAAACACATCAGCTTAAAAAATCGAAATTCTCCAATGTTTATGCATAAAACGCTGATCTAAAAGTGACTAATGAAGACCATTTCATAGAATGGAGTTATTTAAAGATGCCTTAGGTAGCTAAGTGTAACCATTTGCCTCTTTCTGGCTAAAAACATGAGTCTACTGCGGATTTAAATACAGAGATTTTCACAATAACTCAAACATGAAAAGTTTATCAGTTTCCTGATCACTTTACCAGTTAATCATCTTCATCGTCTACGTATTAAAATGTTTTCCCATCAGAAAAAAAAAACAACATAACTTTCATCGTGAAACAGTCAAAACTCACCTGATTTCCCGGAACCATTCATACCGATAACAGATATATTTACGGTATTAACGTTTGTAACTGGCTTAGAATATAATCTTTGCATTTCTGTTTTTGTGGATATTCAAATTACAAAAGGTTCCACTTGTTTAGTAAGAAAATATATATATAGAAGTTATGAGTGATCAGTTAAAATTATTGGTATTTCCTTTTAAACACATAGATATTTTACAGATCAATAATTAGTAACATAAACTATCTTTATTACTATATGTATACATCACTTTGTCTCGATTATAATTCCAAATTTGGATGTCTACACATATTGATGATGAAATTGATATCATCAACCCCCAAAACATTTTTCACAGTTCAATAAGAAATCGAATGTCTTATCCCTATTTATATGTACGCAGAAATATATGTGTATATTATACCTGAATAACTACTGGTCGCATATGGATGATATTGATTGATTTCCCGTTTACTGTGTATCTATGTAGATACGTGTGTGTGTGCGCATGCATAGATCTGTGGGTATTTTATCCCTCTCACGTGCTTTCTGTGTGACTTTCATCCAATCAGATTGCAACATCAGTCTAAACGATACGCACAGAAGACTGTTGCATGGAGAACAAACGAGCGTATATAGATAGTCATAGTAGCATAACTATTACTGTTACTATTACAACTGACACTGAAAAGCACATTATGATGTAGGGAAAAAGTATGCGATTCAGTAATGTCCTGTAAAGGAAACACAACACAGGAAGTGTATGGAAAATATTTAGTGCATAGGAGAAAAGAAAATATGCGGGGAACAAAACTATTTACAAAACTTGATAGTTTTCATGATGATAATAATAATAACAATCATAATATTAGTAATCAATAACTACCTAGGCCCTGTAAATGTTAACATTCCTTTTAAAGTAATTTATGCACATGTTTGTGTAACGATCACTATGTACATTTGTGTGGCAATTAGTGCTTGCCTCTAGTATTGCTATTAGTTATTAACACAGCGTAAAGTGTGCACGAATGAAGATTTATAACAACTCAGGAATGTGAAGATTTTTATCTTTGCCAATAATTATTATTTCTTTGCTTCTTTTCCTGGCTAATTTCTTGGATATCCATGAAGGGTTGTCTATTTTAAACAGAGAAACTACCCGGAATATTAGTATTCCTCTACTGTTCTCAAGACTATTCAAATCGCTTAATTACAGCACCGCTATAGCACCAGAGTTCATTTTATGAGAAATAACTAATTTGTAGTGGTCGGGAAAGGTAAAAAATCAGTTTTACTGCTGTTTAAATTTGTTAAACAGTTTTATGTGTGTTATTTGTTTTAGTCAATTTTATTTCAGTTACTGATTGGTAGGATGGAAATCTGCAGCCTCAATTTATGTGTTAGCTCCCAATATAGACACTATGACGATGTTTGAAAATTAAAGCAATGTTATTCAGTGGATGTTGACTATCAGTAGATAACTCTTAAGCGTTTGAAACGTTGGGTCCTGGGTTCGAGCCCCAGCGGGAACATCACCACTCATTGGGGATTATAGTGACATTCAGCCAAGTTTCAAAATAGAATGATACTTGCATTCTGGATCCTACTGCAATTCGCCATCCATAAAATAACATTTTGATAAGTGTATGAAACAAACTTACATACATATGTTAGCTGATTAAACCAATTTGGAAGAGTGATACTTAAATATGCAAATAAGTAGTAGTTACAGAGTGGTTTATCTTCTTCCATAAGGGTTTCCTCATTCTATTCACTTAGAACAAACAACGAAAAAGGCTTGTTCTGTTACCAGGGTATTAGGAAACAAAGCCACAGTATTAACTGAACATTTCAGAAGAGATTCTGAAAACAGCATTACCAATCAACAGTAGAAGATATAGCACTTTACATTCCAGTATATCTCGACCCAAATGAGAAATTCACGGGTGATTTTGGGGCACACCAATGTAAAACTTTTCAGGAGATTAGCAGGAAATGCAAAATTTTTCGAAAAATTTCTCATTTGGGTGAATTTGAAAAATTTTTCCAGGTCTAGAAGACTCACAAACATATATATCTCTTAGATAGGCTCCTAGTCTGTTTCTTTTTGATAGCAATAAAGTGTACTGCGTCTATATACGTTTACTATACTCCAGTTAATGTGTGTTGATAATACATCTGTAAGCTTTGCCTGTGAGTATTAGTTCTGGTGGAAGCTGTAAAACAGAAAATAAACAAGTGATACAGAAGTGAACAGAAAGTATTTAACCGGTTAGTTAAGTAGGTTTAGCTGATAGAGTGGTAAAAGGTTTGAGGTTACATAAAGTAATTCAGCTATTTGTCAGAGCACGAAGGATGCTGTGGTTCCTGTAAATTCCATTCACTGTGTAGCAACCGTTAGAGCATCATTCTAATCTGCAAGAAGCAAAGCCCTTTGTTTCCGTTCTCGTCATGATTTTCATTCATGCAGTGCATGCGAAAAAGTGTCAAGTAAGCAGAAAGGTTAATGGACCACTAATCCAGCGACTCATGTCTCTGAGTGATTAGGTCTTTAGACATCCCTTCAAGTGAAATGGTGCATCAAACGATTTTAGGGCAACTTGAATATAATTTAAAACCATCTAATCTAACTTCATACAATGTCACCTAACGTTTTAGTTGTCAACTAAACCAACTGATTTTATTTCACTTTCTAAGATTTATACATTTCATGAACTTTTGTACATTACACAACCTAATTTTTACTTTAATTATGACCATAATCACTAATATTTTGTCACATACAACATTATCATTACTAATGTTATTGTTCACACTTATTTAAACTACCAGACAAGATATTATGTATATATATACGCAAGATTACGCAGCTTGATAATAAATTCTTTGAAAAGAATCTTTTCATCGATTGATATGTTCTTAGTACTACCATGGGAATTAAATTATTAAGTAAAGGAAAGAAAATTTCGCGGAGAAAACCTTCTTTGTCGACAAGGTTATCTTTCGAGACTGTAGAATAGTATTTACATTTACTGTAATGTATGAATGATATGAGGATTGACGTAACTGATTCATATATCTTGAATTGATTTCTAAAGATCAAAAGAATTTGGCGCAGTCGTCAACGAAACATTGGAAAGTTGGATTTAAGGTCTGACATAAATCAGATGGTTTGAATTGATTTGGTTCTCTTGGCTAAATCAAATTAGGTACACCACTGATTTGTTCAGTGCCAAACAGGTGAAACAGCCATGCAATGTTTAGATCAATTCGATTTCGTTAGCAAGTACTATTGGTTAATGTGAGAAGTGTACAACTCCTCATCTCAATATATCAGCGGTTTGTAGTTTCATCTAGTCTTTAGAACAGTTTCTCTTTTTCTTTTGCACATTTTCACTTCGGGACTAAACTGCAGGTTCATCAGCATTCGTCTGCATTTACTTATTCTGTTCACTGAGACTAGTCAAATAAAACACCGCGGCCCGCTTGAATCACCAGCCACCTGGGTTTTTCATCCAGCAAAACATATCGTGTTTACTCTTTTTCATATTGTTTTAATACTCTAATTGCCACAGTGAGACACAATCCATGCCTGCTCACATTTTCAAATAAGCTTCTCGCCAACTTGTGGAATTTTTCAAAGAAAATGGAGAAAGCACACTGTGGAAAAGTACTGGAGTTAGTTTCGACTGGAACAACATTCCTTCAGATGATATATCATTGATTACTATTATTTGAAAATTCTGGACAATAGGTAAATGCTTCTTAAATGAAAATTTTTGGGGTGATATCAGGGTTTCAAGAGGCATATTGGGGAAAACTTAATGCAAACATTTCGGGGATTTACCTCTTTTTTTCGCTCAAACCCCGAAATCGTCAAAAAGTTTCTATGTGGGCTTGCAGCGAAACTCACTGGAAATTCCGTATTGTGTATAAACGCACTTTCAGAATAAAGCTGTTATTATTATTGTTAATCCTCACTTTGGTAGTAGGAGGGGTAAATTAGTGGATCAGAGAATTTCAAGGAACCAGCCGATCTGCGGAATTTTAATTTCCAGTCATCAATTTACTTATGTTTTCTGCTGAAATTCAGAGAAAAGTATCACAAATAACAGGTGACTGATAGGGCAGTAGAGCGATGATTGCATTCTACTTGAGTGTTTTTATAAATTTTTCCCCAACCTATTTACCTCAATAAATCTATAAACAGGTCTAAGTTTAATTTCCTACCTTTCCTAGTGGTCTAGCTGGAATGAAAGTTTAAGCGGGCTTATAATCTTTTATTTCGTTCTGAGTAGCAACCCAGACGCCTGTCGCCAAGTTCTGTTTATGATTTATTACATGGCTCCTAGTGTTATCCAATGGCGGATTTGAAAAGCACTATTCCTGCAGACAGTTGGACTACAGAAACCAACTAGTTGGATTTTTATCGAAAACCAAAAACAGATCAGGCTGCAGCCTGTCGATAGAGAGGGTAGACTGTAGATTTATGCTATCTGCATGATTCGAACCAGGTATGGACTTGTTTAGAAGTAGGAAAATCCCTGTGTATCCAGTTGTGGGGTTGAAGTGTTAGATCTTTATATGCGGACAGGTTAACCAAATATTCACATGAGCATGATGAGAATATTTGGGAGGAAGAAACCTGGCACCTTCAGTTGATAAGCTAAATGTTAGTGGGTAAACGTCGATTTTTAAAAATTCTTCTGAATTGACTGGTGTGCGGATGCATGTAAAGTCGTCAAGCATTCAACCTCATCGAGTGCTCGAACCAGGCGTAGGTCCACCGACTCTATCACGGGTTGCGAAAACTATCTATCGTAAAACCAATAAAATCGGCAGGATATGACAGTTTGACTCCATAAGCGAAAAGAAATGACGAACAGCTATCCAGAAAAAAAATGAGGTAATCTCTATAACCTTCCTCACAGTGGAGCACCTAATAAAGAGGACAAAATTATCCTGCAGTTACAAATACATCAGTCTGACGAATTCTACAAGATCCCTGGAACCATCATCATTCGTAACATGATGTAATTTGGGTAGCTTTAAGGCCTGGAAGAGTGTGCATTGATCAAATCCTTCAGTTACTCACTCTAGAACATAGGTTTTTTTATTTCTTCGTGTTCCAAGTGGAACGATATCCATGCTGAAAATTCCACACTTGTACTGAAAATACGGTGTGGAATCAAGCTGTAAATCAAAATAAAAAAATAAAATAAACATAGGGCTTCAAGCTAGAGGCTTGAAGTTTCTTAAGCAGTGTTTATCTTAAGAGGATGAGGTTGCTAGCCTCATGCCCAACCATTCCCCATTACCAGCTTTATTTCTGGCTTAGTGACGTAAAGGAGTGCGTCGGCCGGATATCGAACCTCGGACCATGTGCACGGTCGGCGAGCATCCTAACCACTGTGCCACCGACGCACAGTCTAGAAAATAGGTACCTAATACTTATCAAATTCCGTAGCTTGAACGTGCAATCTTGT